TGATGTTGGTTCTACCATTCAAACATTCTTTCATATGATAGAAAACCAATTCGGAATCAAACCCAAACGCTTCCGTTCTGACAATGCTCGAGATTACTTCAATCAAAACTTAACATCCTTCTTTCAAAAACATGGAGTCATCCATGAGTTTTCTTGTGTGGACACTCCTCAACAAAATGGAGTGGCCGAAAGAAAAATTGGTCACATCCTTTATGTGACACGTGCCATTCTTTTTCAAAGAAATGTTCCTAAATCCTTCTGGGGGAAGCTGTGTTAACATCCACTTATTTAATCAATCGGTTACCATCTGCTACTCTAGACCATAGAACTCCTATGAATATCTTATCAAAATATTATCCTGATTTTCGAACAATAAATAACTTGACTCCTCGAGTATTTGGTTGTGTAGCCTTTGTTCATGTTCACAGTCATCAGCGAGGTAAACTTGATCCACGAGCACTCAAGTGTATTTTTGTCRGATACTCGAACACTCAAAAGGGATATAAATGCTATCATCCTCCTTCAAAAAGATTCTTCATCTCTGCTGATGTTACCTTTTATGAAGACACCAGCTTCTTTACCTCAYCTTATCTTCAGGGGGAGGAACTATTATTGGAAGATAAGGATTTGCCMATTCCCAACCTCACATTTCCTATATCAAATCCTTTACCACCACCCTTAGACACCTTACCAGGACCATCTAACCCTTCTACTACTACACCATTACAGGTGTTAATAATAAGAAAAGAAAATAATTCTTCCTTAATTACTCCAAATGATTGATACAAGGCTATATAAATAGCAGTCACAAAAAAGAAACTAAAAAGAAATTCTTGTCTATTAGGATAAGGAAATACTTACCTATTAATAAGGAAATACTTAGGACAATAAAACCAACCTAAATAAAATAGGAAACCTTTAAAATAAAATAAACTATAATTTAACAGGCTTGAATTTACTATTTGTGCATGTTGTCTTTGATCTAATGCTTTAAATTATTAAGGAAATTTTGATTGTTTTGCCATACACAAATTCTAGAAATACGAGAAAATGATCCGGTGACTATGTGATATTATGTTGTCTCCCACGTATAACTGATGACGTCTCTCACACTATATAAATTCTTCATGACTTCATGACGTTATCTTAATGCACTATATTTCCTTATCAAAGCATGGTTTTCTTTAGATTTTTTTATGTAGGTAGTTGAAGCCAAAATACAGATGGAGGAAAAACATTTGTTGTTATTTTCTTCCATTTGCCTTTGAACTGTAAAAATTTTCATACTATGATGTGGTACGTAAATTCAGTCATAGAGCAACCCAACTCAATTCAATAACATCGGTCACTTGGACGAAAATGACTTCTATACTAGCTTGCATTCTGCGGCTTCATTTGGGCTCAGGTTCTCGCTCAGGTTCTCTTTCTTATTTTATTGGTGATAATTTTTTATGATTATTTATTTATTTATTTTAGTACAATGTACCTATGAGAGTGGTGGATCGAACTCACAATCTCTTGATTTGAGATATATGTCAATTAACGTTGAGCTTTGTTGGCATTTTATGGTCATTATTTTAGTATGTTTTAGAATTTAGTATTGCTATTTTGTTTATTTTGCAATTTGTGGTTCTTAGTTTAACATGGAAGTTTTTTCTTATTTGAATTGCTTGCTATGGGTTGATAATTTTTGCTTTAGTTACCTGCCTGAAATTTTTTTAATCAATAATGCTTTTACCAAATATTATGTACATTGAATTCTTAAATTGCTTGGCTCGAGGGCGAATAGCTCAGATTATAACAAACTCTCTTCTCTTGCAGACCCTAGCTTTAATTGAGTTTAGGAGTGGTAATATTTATGTTAGAATGTTACCATTTTTTGTTTGTACAATTATGCGAAACTATCGTGATTGACGGAGATAAGTTTCCAATCTTCAAGCATGTTAACCATAAGAAATTTTCTGATATCGACTTCCTGTATGCCTATGTGTAACTCAAGTAATTTATTGAATTATTTAAGTGGCGTGTGTCGTCATAATTAAAATATCGATGCTTCATTATTATTATTTTAAAAAGCTTTTATTATTTTTTATTAATTTTTTTACATTTTTATTTCTTAATTGTCAAATAAGTGAGTAGCTGTAAATGTTTTGAAGCTAATAAAATTATTTCTTAAAAATACTATACTATTTCAGTTCTAGGTAAAATAATTATTTGAAAATCAAATAATAGAAAAAAGTACATTTTTAAGAATTATATAGAAAAGCCAATTGATTAAATATATCAAATCAAAATATTAAATCGGTTTCGATTTTCATTATTGTGTTTCACGCCTGTATTCACCACAAGTTTCAAATTTTAATATTATGCCTATATATTTATATATTTTTTGAGGGAAATAATATACCTATTGGTTTAGAAACACTCTAATATTTTGTCAATTTATTAATCCCCGTCTCTCAACCATTAATAAAACCATTATTTTAAATATCAAGAATTATTTTGTTTTTTGAATATCTCATTTATTTTAAATTGTAAATTAAATACTTTAATTCTTGATATCAACTTTTATATAAATTACTGCATAATTCATCATTGCTGTTCTTTTTTTTTTTTTTTGTTGGAAGATAGTAATATACAACCAACTGAACTAAGGTAACCAACCAAGTGGGGAAGTTTGAAAACCACTCAGCCACTAAATGTATTTTTTAATTGAAATTAAATTAGGAAATTTATGATGTATATAGTATACTGTCGACACTATAAAATTACAACGATGAAAGTTATAATTTCCAGACCTAGACAAAAAAAAAACGTTATAATTTTCCTAAATGAAATAACTATGCAATGAAAATAAATTGATAACTATTTTCCATACTCAAAATAATAATAATAATAGTAATAAATAAATACAATATTTAAAGTTATTTTACCAACTTTCAATGATAAATAATTAATAGGTAATTAACTTGTCCTTTAAAAAAAAAAGAAAAACAAATTCACCTTATCTTCCTTCTGCTTCTGCACTGGCACGTGCCGAGAGGTGAGAGGAGAATTTGGTTCTGCTCTGTTTTTCCGCCCCTCCAGCTCTTGATCACTCGACTTCAGTTCTACAACTACTCAACTTCATTATTAAATCTTAATTTCCATAGTTTCAAATCCTTTCTCCTACCAAATTACTGCGAAATCAATGCGTCCACGCAGATGGTCGAATTTGATTTTCATTTTCAATGCGCTTCTGCCATTGCTAATCCCTTCGAGTTCTTCTCCGAGTCCTGAAGAGCTGTCTCAAATCCCTTTGAATTTCCTTCAATATGCTAAAAATCCCGAGGTTTTTAATTGGATGGTTGATATCAGACGGCAAATACACGAGAACCCTGAACTGGGTTTCGAGGAATTCGAGACCAGTAAGCTTATCAGAGCGGAGCTCGATCGTTTAGACATTTCTTATAAATATCCAGTTGCAATTACCGGCGTAGTTGGTTTCATAGGGACTGGAAACCCACCTTTTGTTGCAATTCGGGCAGATATGGACGCTCTGGCCCTGCAGGTATGCTTCATAGCCAGAAAATTTTAATCCCATCCTTCCTGTTTATTTTGGTTTAATGTAATTATGAAATTGCTTATGAACTCGCCTAGTAGCCATTGGGATTTCAATGTTGTAGAGTAGACCGGACACGCACTGATGATCACATGACCTCGATCAAGAAGATGAGTTTTGGGCCGAAATTATATAATTATATGGAGGATTTTGAAACTTGTAGGATTTCTTCAACCGATGTACTTGCCACTGGATTTCGCCCATTGTTGTACATTGATCATATCTAACTGGCATGCTATGAAACTTTGGGAGGACAATTCTCAAAATATAATGGGGGGTTTTGGTGGTTATAGGAGGGCGTAGAATGGGAACACAAAAGCAAAGTTCCTGGAAAGATGCACGCATGCGGGCATGATGCTCACGTTGCCATGCTTCTTGGGGCTGCAAAGATACTTCAAGAACACCGCCGCCTAATACAGGTACTTCCACTTGGAACTTGGGTGGTTGGCATCACAATTTGCCTTTTTACCGTGTGATTTTGCTGTCGATGGAAAATTTACATAGTGGTTTATCATCTTCCAAGTTAAATGGGTTGAATAGTGCCATGGAGATTACATTTTAGATTGCTTTCTCATTCTAACATAGGAGTTTGTAGAGTTTTCATATACGTATTATTCTTCTTGTTTCGAAATTCCTATATTGTTCAATTCTTTCTAATTGTGGCATATTTCTACCCATCATTATTAGTACACGAGTCGTGAGTCTTTAGGAACTAAATAATTGACAAAAACATTAGTCCTAGTTGAATTGAACAAGTACATTATTAAATATTAAGAGGCATGGTCAACTGCATTTCCATATAACGATGCTAACTTTCTTTATGTAAACCAGGTCTCACCCCAAACAGGATTGGTAATCCTAGATTCATATGGGGACGTTGAAGAATTTGTCCTTTATGGCTTTATTTTAATTGCAGGATAAGAATACATTACCTAACACTGCCCCTTATGGGTTCCTTATCTCTTCTAAGTTTGTATCACTAAGATACTAGAAAGGGCTGGCGAGTACCCTGCCACAGGAAACTCGATCCATTCAAATATAGAGCTTTATAGGCTTTTTTTCTCCTCTGGGGACTCCCAAATTTGCATTAATTCCCTCAAGTCAGAGAATAAGGCAAAGACAAATCTGACCCCACCTCATTCAGTTGCTTTGCTCAATTGAATCAGTGTTAGTGTTTATTAAACACTGTTTATTAAGCACAAAGACTAATTCATTGCCAACATAGACACTTTTTTCTTTATATAAGGTGAACAGATAGACGAGCTTACTTGAACAAAATCTGTTCTATAGGTTGTACTGCTTTGTCATTGAGTTCTATAAGGTGAACAAATAGAATATAGAGGCCTTTTCTTTACCAAAACAAGATTTATATTGATGCTTGTGACAGGCCAGATATTGTTCATACTGCTATGCTAAATTTATGCTGCTGAGAGTCCTGATTTTAACAGGGAACAGTAGTTCTTGTTTTTCAACCAGCTGAGGAAGGAGGTGGGGGAGCAAAGAAAATGTTAGAGTCTGGAGTACTGGATAATGTTGAGGCCATCTTTGGATTGCATTTAACTGGCAAGTGTCCTATTGGTAGGGTGGCTTCCAAGCCCGGCCCTATTCTGGCTGCAAGTGGTTTCTTTGAGGCAGTTATTAGCGGTAAGGGAGGTCATGCTGCTCTACCCCAGCACACAATTGACCCAATTTTAGCAGCTTCCAACATAATTATCAGTTTGCAACATCTCATCTCGCGCGAAGCTGATCCTTTGGATTCACAGGTTCTATATCTCTCTAAAGATTTCTCCTCAGGCTTATAGTCACTGCAACTGTTGAGAAAACATCATTTACATTGGGGGGGAAATTATAGTTGATTTCTTTAAACTCTTCCAATGCCAATTTTAGGTGTGGAGTCCAATGGAAAATCTCAAGTACTGTCTTTTTCAAAGCTTAATTCCTTAATTTGTCGCAAGGTTTAGTATTTGCATCAGTTCGAAATTCTGGGGATTCAACTTTCATCACATTTAATGAGATTTAAGTTTGTTTTTTGTGATTCATTTTGGGGTTTCATATAAATATCTAATTCTTCTTCCAGTAGCTTTGCGTGATGGGAGTTTTCAAGACTCAGGACACACTGAGATTTCAGAAAATGGATTAAGAGTTCATGATTTTGAAAGTGGTAAAAACTACTTTTAACCAATTAATATCACTTTTTAAATTTTTTATAATGTTTGGTTAAATAATCAAAAGTGATTCTAGAAATTCTGAAAATACTTAAAAATCAATCAAGGTGCTTATAAAAGAAGCGTTTTACTGAAAAAAAAAATTCAAAAATCATCCCATTTTTGCTTTTTTTTTCCTGATTTCTAGTTTGACAAAGAACTACTGTGATTGTTCACTTTTCTATTTTGGTTAAAATTAAACACTCTTGTCTATATAATTATGAGAAGGGGGCAGCACCTTAGTTATGTCAATGGTAGCATTTCACAAACATGGAAGCAAAATCTTGCAGGTCGTCACAGTGGCAAAATTTCAGGGCGGTGGGGCATTCAATGTCATTCCAGATTCTGTTACAATTGGCGGTACTTTCAGGGCATTTTCAGACGAAAGCTTCATCCAACTTAAACAGAGAATTGTAGAGGTAGATTTCTAGAAATATGCTGCTTCTTCAAGTCAAAATTCATTTCCAAAAATAGTTCCATAAATACTTTCTTCTTGGAAAAACATGCCAGGTTATCACACGACAAGCCAACGTTCAGAGGTGCAATGCCACTGTCCAGTTCAATGAAGAGAAGCCTTTCTTTCCAGTTACACTAAATGACCCAGATCTTTACAAGCATTTTCATTCGGTCGCTGGAGACATGCTCGGTACCAAGAACATTCTTGATATGCAACCTATAATGGGAACAGAAGACTTTGCATTTTATGGAGAAGTTATACCAGGATTCTTCTTCTTTGTTGGGATGAAGAATGAAACTCTTGGGATGTTCGAATCAGGACATTCACCTTATTATATCGTAAACGAAGACGTGCTTCCTTACGGTGCAGCATTGCATGCTTCAATTGCCACAAGGTACCTTCTGCCCAAATCTACTTTAATTAAAGGAAACTCTCATGATGAGCTTTAAAGATCTGTAGCCTCATAGGGTCATCCAAGCAATGGCTCTATTTGAAGCCACTCTTTTATGTGATTATCATCTCAACTTGTTCTATATACTTCTGTACAAGTGTATCAGCCACCCTCATAATCATATCTGGGAATGTGTTAAAAGTTTCCCAGATGTAATTTTAGCAATACGCCATTTGATATGTTGACAGGTGTGACTGAAGCATATGTGAAAATGTTGTAATTTGACTATTTGGCATAAGACATACCCCTTATTTCATCTCCTCCATCATCTGTTAAAGCAATTCTTGCTTAGAACCTTGTCAAGAAACGACCACTCAACCATGTCAAGTGTCTCATCCGCAATCAAATAGTATTAACGATGTCTTTCCTTCAATGAAGACCCTTAAGAAATAGTTGAAGAGATTACCTTTTTAACTCTTGGTGATATCTTTGGCTATGAAAGTCATGAACCAAGCATTGGACTTCTTCGAAATCAGGCTGTTGAAGGTTCCGGTTGGGGCTTACGTTAACAATACAAGTCAAAAAGACTCCTGTAAAACCATAGGGACCATGTTTTGACGTCTTCCTTATTAACAAGACTAACAACCTTGAACAAAAAATTACTATGCCTCCCAAAAAGAAATTCTCAGCACCCTCGGGCCAAATAAATTCTTTTGTGTTTGGACTGATTTTGATACGTTTTTGTCATTGTCAAAATTACTTTCCTTTCAATTGATCATGTTTGGTAAATTAAAAAAATTGATTTTAAGGAAAGTTTAAAATCACTTTTTAAATTGATTTTCAAGATATCGCTTGGATAATGATTTTAGAAAATCAAATTATACTTAAATCTCTTACGTCCAAGTGGATAAAGGTCAAACTTGTTGTCACCTGACTTCAGCTTATCACTGTTCTCCAGTTTCTGAAATCAGTTTCTGAAATTGAATAGGAGAAAAGGCCTCTTTGTTCCAAAAACCTTATTTCTTTTCCCTTGAACTTTGAGCTTCTGAAATTCAGGGATACCTCTTTAAATTTGAAGACCTCTTTGTTTGGTTCGGATTTTAAAAAGCTTATGGAGGCGGTGTTAAAAAGTCATATATATTTAAATTAAAAATTTAAAGAGTATTTTCAACTAATTAGAAGATAATTGTTAAATTTTTTATAATCAAAAGTAGTTTGATGATAAAAATATGAAAATAGAAGAAGGCACTTCTATCAGTCAATTTTCTATTAAAAGTACTTAAGAAAAAAGTGTGTTCAACTTTAATTAAAACTAGAACAATCATAAATCATTGCAAGGCCAAAAACGACTGCTGCAAACATCATTTTTATACTTTATAATTTTTCATGAATTGAATAGGTTACTAGTTTTCTGGTTTACCTTTCCTTGGAAATATTTCATATGTATACCATCCTGCCAAAATCAGAACCTTATTGTAATCAGGATCATCGTTAAAACTGCTCTTTTACCTGTATAATTATGAGAAGATCAGATATGATGCCGCAGCTCACTATCATTGGTAAGGCTTCACTGAAGTGAAAGTGTAAAAGGTATGGAAATTTCTAAAGAAGAAGTGCAAATTAATGAAAATTTTCAAATGAAACCTTGAACTGCATTTAGTACAAACTACTACCTCACCTCTTCTCCAGCCTTTTAAAGAATGCACCAAAATATTATTCAAATGCATGAAAACTTACCACATAAGCTAAGGAGAGATTAAATCTATAGAGCTTAAAAGTCGGCTAACTAATATCTAAGCCTACTTATTTAACAAATATATTGAATTATCTAAGCCTATTTAACAAATATATTGAATTATAAGGTGTATTTGTAATTAAACATACAATGAGGCAACATTTTGAATAAATGCAATTGTCAATTTAAATACAAGGGCTTCATAAATTACGAGAGTTAGAAATTAGGAACAAATCATGGGAGTCAGAAATTAGACTTTCTTATGATTATGAATGCAGTTTCATGCTTTATGAGCAGCATTTTAGACACAATAATTGGTAAAAGATATCTTTTTCAGAGAAAAACTAACCCAGATTAACTTCATTGAGAAAGTCCTTATTATTTTATCAGGAAAATTCATTTGTTAATTATTATTTTATCAGGAAAATTCATTTGTTAAAGCACCAACTCCTTTAGAGCCCCCCACACCCGCTTCACATCTGGTTAGCTAAGACCAGTTGCAAATATAACAATGCACTAGTGCCAAACTTCTGCAAATTAAGCCTCTACTTGTAGCTTCATCATGAGTACTTCACAATTTACCGACCCAAATCATTTCCTCTTCTGTAGTATTATATGATCCTCCAATTGGTCTTCTTCCCACATCGCTATCATTTCCGTATCACTAGACATAACTCGAAATAAAGATGTAAAAAAGACATTGAGAACTTTTGAAACGAACTTCAATTCTACGTTCTAGGTGTGCAACAGCATAGAGCTTCAAAACCAGCAAAAACACAATACGAAAAATCAAGAATAAAAAGCGAAACCAAAAGAATAATTCAGAACAGAATCACATTACTTCTAATATACTGCCAAAACCATTATCTTTTACACGGTCAAAACCTTAAATAAACTGAAACATCTATGAGAAATAAGAGAAAAGCTTAATAACGCACAAAACTATGCCTCTACGGCACAAGCTCCCATTGAATTTGCCGTTTGCTTACTTCTCGGAGGAGTTGGGTCCCCTCTTCTTTCCAAATCCGACCACTGCAACGATCAAACAAATAAAAATCGCCCGTTAGAATGACACTCTCAAATTCTCGTTCGCAAATCTTAATTTCGTAAAAAAAATATCATCAACATAGATACATGTAATTTGACAAATAAAACAATTACCAAAATTGAAAAGGTAGTAGTTGAATGCAATGCTAAAAAAAACCTAAAGCATCAATTTTAAACCGCAAGTGTATCGAAAAACTAGATGAAGTTAATGACTATAGTTACCAGCAGTGACGAATCTGCGGTTGTATTGCATACGCTTGTGCGCGCGTCCACGGGGCTTCTTCTTCTTGTCTTGCTTTGCTACTTTCGGAGTTTGACCTCTAACCTTCCCGGCACGAGCCAGAGATCCGTGAACCTTCCCTGGAAACACAAAAAGCAAATTCAGAAAGACGAAAGAACAGAGACTCATCGAAAAAAACTAAATGCACTATAAGAGATCGAAGGTCGCGAACTCAAGATTTAGGGTTTTGCTCACCCATGGCAGATTGCTTGCTTCGGTACTCTCCGGTGCTGTGATTAACGTCCGACTAAACAAGGCACTTGGATGGAGATCGAAGGTCGCAAACAAATTAGGGTTTCCGAGGAGATTTATATAGACAGGTTTTAGAATACGGGCTAGGTGAGAGCCCAATTAAATATGGGCTTTGGGCCTTTCTAACCAATTGGGCCCAATAAATCGGACTAATGTTGGGCTGTCATTTTTTGACAGCTGGCACTGTCATTTTTTCTTTGACCGGGTCAAACGTAACAGGCTGGCATCATGTAAATTGAAAGCAGAACTTCCCTATTTAAGTACACCGGACTCCTCATTGACTGTTAGAACTATAGCGATATTCTGTTTGGAGTGTAGTTTCTCTTTTCGTCATCTTCATGACTCGTTGGTTTGACCATGAACTCCAAAATTGTTTCTCCATCTCATCATCTTCTTTAGAAATTGTTTCTCCGTCTCAACATCTTCTTCAGAAATTGTTTCTCCGTCTCATCATCTTCTTCCTATCAGTTTCAGTGTCAGTCTGAGCGCGATCTTCTTATAAATGGCCTTCGCAGTTGGCGGCAATGAGAAACTCAAATCCGAAGCGTCAATGGGAGTGCTCGGTCTTTTGGGAGTCATTGGCCCCGTTGATCGCCGTGTCTCCGTCGAAACCCTAGCCGGCTCGTCATCGGTATATATATCTTTCTCTTTTCAAATCACAGTTCTATGCATAGCTCTGCAATTATTTTTTATACTTTATGTGGATGAAGTTTTATGTTCTCCTTTGAAGAGGCGAGTATTTGGATGGTACAATTCGTAATGGCAATGCGTGGCGAAAGAGGAGAAACGCTCATTTACTTGGTTTCTTTCGCCGAATTGGTAAGCGTCCATTCTTGCGGACTAAGCCCCGTATGTTTATTAACAAATCCGCGGCTTATTATGTCTGGTTGCTTTCAGCTTATGAATGATTTGTGTTTGCGACTTGCGAGTGACTTGGCCGAGCTTTATCCTTAGGTTCAACAAAGGAGTGAAGTGTCAAGTATTGCACTGCAACTGCATGTGGTTGCCATGACCAGGATCGCGTGATAGAGGTCCAAAATTATTACTCCTCCTATTTGTGTGTTATTTTTTCCCTTCCTTTTTAATATAAAAGTTACTTCCTTACTACCCTGTCAATAATAGGGAGCACAAATTGATGTTAGTAGAGAAGAGATGAACCACTAGAGGCAGGCAGCTTATTAATTTTACAATTAATCTATTAATCGTTCATTATGTAGTAAATATCAATTATGAGATAACAGAGACAGGAATAAAAATAAATTTAAAGACCTATTTAGATGTTTCTCGACTATCATTGTTGTTAGTAGTTCTCTCATTAATAAATCCTTCTTCGACAATCCTATTGTCACACATCCCTGGGAAGTAGGAAATGAATGTAGAATTCCAATTCATAGATGTTTTCAGACCATCGTTGCAGTTAGAAGTTCTCCATGAATACAGAATACTTGTTAACTCATTACTTCTTTTCAGATCATGTAGGTTTTGTCTTTACTTCATGGGCTACTAATTCCTTGTGGCAAATGCTATTTAACTGTGACAGTAAATTGCAATGTGTGCCAATATTGACGAGAGAAATTGGGAACTGCTTGCAAATTTCATCTGCATTATATATATTTATGTAACAGCCCTTTATCTTGTGAGGTGTGTTTTATTTAAGAAAAAATATGACATATGTTTCAGGAAAAGAATCCCATGGATTTTTTTAAACTGGCCCGATGTTGAAAGTAGTCCTGGGCCAAGCATTTTCCTCGGGTGTGTATTTGAGGTTGATAGATATGTCACACTTTGTTTATCACTTCACGAGAGGTGCATTTCCATGTTTTTGTTTAATGGTTAAATAGTAATTACAGATAATTATTTTTTTCACAGTAAGAAAAGAAGCTTCCATTTGTACCAGAGTATGATTATGGAGAATTTGTTTATCCCTATTTTTTACCAAATAATGATGAAACTCATTTCTCTATTTTGACTTTTCTAAGTTTTTATGTTCTGCGAATGTATTTTGTTTTTTTAATACATGTACGCACCACTGAGATGCTGATTTGAGTTTGAGGATTAGAGGATTTGCACCCGAAAACTTCTATCCTGAAATAATGGATGGGCTTGTTTTTCTCTTTTCATTTGAATATTACTTCTAGAACTTCTATTTTTCATTTGAATATTAAAACAATAACCTCTCTCTTCCATCTTAAACTTCTATTCTTCTTCAAGACTGCCCACGGTTGTTATTGTTTTTATATGAACCACAAGTATACTCACTGCTGTCTTGTATTTAATTGATGTACTATGTTTATTTTTCTGATAAGGTGCAGTACTTTTCCTGGGACAACATGTTCACAGCCCTGACCTGTTTTATGTGGTTAATTACTTAACCTATTTTTTCATTTGTATGTTAAGTGTACTTTTGGTCGATTTTACCAAAATGGGGAAAACTAACAATAGGGTGCATCATTTTTATTTCATCACTATCAATTTGATATGTTGTTTTTTATTAAGCAGAATGATGTTGCATCAATTATTTTGTATTGAACCTATAGATATGAACCACAGGGGTCAAGGTATTCTGCAGCGGACCACGGGCTTCTTTATCGTATAGTTCAATTCAGCGCTCCAACAATTGAGATGTATTGCCAATGTTTTGCGTTGGATCAGATAAAGAATCTTGCAAAGCCATTGGTCAATAGGTAATACTCGATATACTGAGATACATATATGGTGAAGCACATGAAGAGGATTTTAAATGCTTACATTAATTCTTGCATGCTCCATCCTGCTGCGGTTATTTTATTTAGTTACATGGGGAAGAATTGACATTTTGTTGATAGATTTGCTGAATAGTTATAAATATGAGGTTAGAAAGGAAAAAAGCAAAGTTAGATTTGTTGAATCAGGATTTTTATAACTTCCATCAAGTGAAACTTCATCATTATTTCTTATGATTTTTGTTATCTCACATCTCTAATATCGTTGTGTTATTATCAGTTTACTTGAATTGCCCCAACGCTTTAGCATTTCTCTGTAATTTGGTGGACGATAAGGACTGAGTTTAATGATTTTGCTTGTGTGCATAATACTGTTTATTTTCATAATACTTTTATCTCCAACACTTTTCATAATTCTGTTTCAGACTGCGACTATTCTGATTTTCAAGTATACTGATCATGCTGCTTCTAGGAAGATGTTTGATGATTTGGAAACTTTATTTTGCCTGTAGCATAGTGTTTGCCGTTTGGCAGTCGTAGAATTTTTTTAATCCAATTCACGTTATAAAGTTTATGTTGATCAAGTTGATTTGTAACATTTTGCTTGAGTTGATGATTATAATTATATGTTAGAGAATTTATAAGAAGTTGAAGAACAAGATTTAAATTATATATTGGATGTGATGACTTTATTTATTTGAAAAAGCTAAACCGTAAAGTACATATGCCCGTCTAGCTCAGTTGGTAGAGCGCAAAGGCTCTTAACCTTGTGGTCGTGGGTTCGAGCCCCACGGTGGGCGAGAAAAGATAAATTATAATTTGCTTTTATTTTTTTAGATCTTTTTAAATTTGTTAAAGTGCATATTGTTCTAATTTCATTTATTTGTTTCTAGTACTGGATTGTTCAAGATTGAAGTAGACAGCATTCACAACTTGCAAAATGTGAATTGGTAAATCCTCTACTTAATTTTGAATGGATGTCATGTTCATATCAGTTATATGTAAACATTGTTAATATCGACTCATATAACTGAAGACAATTAGGTTTGTGCAACTGTTTTTTTTTAAGCCAAAATTAGTGTTAAATTCGCCTACTAGTTTAAAAATAAAAAGTCAGCACTCTTTTATTTATTTGATATTGCAGAATCGGTACCATGGACACAATTGAAAGAGAATAAATTTTAGAGTATGAACTTAATATCATCTCCATAATTTTTCTTCTTGGAATAATATCATCTACACACTGATTAGTGAATGCCAGTAAAGCTATGCTTTTGAAAATTTGAGGTTACATTTAGTACCAGATTCAGGTTATTGGATGCAAGGGACAGGTCAAATAGCACTATATTCTTCCCTTTTTATCTACATAATTAGAAGGAAGATAGATTTCATTTAATTTACACAGCGTTCTACGGAAGAATTTAGTTGATAATTTTTACACATTGAGGATAAAATCTAAGAATTTTAACAAAATTAAGGGCTAAATTACTCAGAGAGAGAGAGAGAGAGAGCCTAATTATATATCTATCCTTTTTGATATTTTTTTTCTCTTTTTTTTTTTTTCCCCTTACTGGCATGTAATTTGTTTTTTTAGGGCAGTAGAATTTGAAGTCTTGACCTGTCAAAATCAAGTGCCAATTACTGCGGGTATTTTGCTGTCATTTTTGTTATTTGACCAGGTCAAATTTGGACAGGCTGGCGCCGAGCTGTCACTTTTTGGTTTGACCAGGTCAAATTTGACAGGCTGGCATCGCGTAAATTAAAAGCAGAAGTTCCCTATTTAACTAACAGACTCCTCTCAGGTGTTCTCTGTTCTATCTATTTCGATTTAATTTCAGTTCTCTGTTCGTTTCATCCTCCAAAATTGTTTCTCCATCTCATCTTCTTCCGAAATTGTTTCTCCATCTCATCGTCTTCTTCCTAGCATTCGCAGTAGTCTCGGTCTGAGCATGATCTTCTCATCAGTCGCCTTCGCTACTTCAACAGTACCCTGTTTGGCTGTTGGCAGCAATGAGAAACTGAAAGCCGAAGCGTCAATGGAAGTGCTCGGTCATTGGGGGGTTATTGGCCCCCGTTGGTCGCCGTAACCTCGTCGAAACCCTAGCCGGCTTATCATCGGTATATATTATCAATTGGTTTTCACAGTTTATCCTCATAATATTATAGTCAACGAGATCGTTTGGAGCAATCCGATTGCCAAATTTAAGAATGAAGTATATTTCAGACAATTGCTTCAAAGATTGACATCCACTTCTGTAGTGTCATTATATTTCTACATTTTCTCATGGTTTCTCTCTTTCCCTTGTTGACGATTGGAAATCTCCTCTAATAGACATCCTCTCGCTACCTAGAAGTTGAAATTTCCTCCAAACGCGATCAACTTCCCAGCATCTTTCATGCACATAACTGAGAGATTAATGACCGGATTTTCTCTTTTGATAAAATCCCTAGCCCTTCAAGCCATAATGTAAACCGAATGGCGTGGATTTTACATAAATAGAAATTTTAAAAGAAATTATTTTATTTATTTTATCTTCTTATTATTTTGTACAAAGAGAGAAAAGGACCACTTAGTGATCTCGTCTAATTTTTCCTTGTCGTAAATTTTGCTTGGTTTTATTTCTTAGCCTAGACTACAAAAATATGAATGTCTCCCGATAATCATGCAATATGTTAAATTCATAATTGTGTAATATGTTGAATCATGGTCATATGATGTGATTATACAGTCCTGGTCTTACAACCCTCAACTTTTTTAATGCTAACCTCTTTTTCACGTTAGAGAAAAAGATAAATTGCATATATGGTAAGATAGGCAATATTGTTATTTGGAAATTGGAACCACTCGTTGGTTGGAGGTGGTGAATTCAATGCCAATATTTCCACAGTAGAAAGTACACTTCCCGAAATATAAGGGGGGTTATATTGTATGTAACAGTGTGTTGCGTGTCAAACTTGTTCTTTGGAGAAATGGTAACTTCTAGCAATTGTTCCATGTTTTTCCGAACAGAAATTTATCATTTATAGAAGTTGCTCAACTAAATTTAATGATTTCTATTACTTTTAAGTTCTAAAATGTAAAAGCTTTATTCTGTGATATTGTAGGATACGGGGTGATGGGGCTTGAAGCAGCGAGTATATGCCTGCTTAACTTCAGGCCTACAACTTCTTAGACATTAAAAAGTCTAGTTCTTTGAGGGATTGGCAGCATCACCATAATTGGCAGTACCAAGGTAGAAGAGGGCGACCTTTGGCAACAACTTCACGGGTATGTAATACATTGCTTTTTCTTGAGCTACTGCCACTGGTCTTGCTGGCTTGCAGTTGAAAGGATATGATGCTTAGGATACAGAAGTTATACCAATTGAAGTGGCCTATACCTATACCGATACCTCTATCTTCCACATAATTTTGCAAGTTTGCATGATATCTTACATGTTTTTCTTTCTCTCCTTTTTGAGGTCGAGGTTGTCTTCTGGAATATTACTTAGATTGTTCGTTTAGTAATATCTGCATTTTTTTCCAAGTTTTTCCTGTTCGTTCAAGCTCTTGGTGTTTACATTTCTTGGTCCTTTCAGGATTGATGGTAGAATGCTGGAGTTCAAATTAGATTCTCATGACAATAATATAACTGCAGACATTTGGCACATTGTGGTGTTCAGGTTTGACTAGGGAAGATATATAGCTCAAGTTTTCGCAGCATTGTTGCCTTAATTTTCCTATAGGTTATCATCTTCCTCACTCTTAATTTATTTGGAATCTTATGCTATATTTCTATCTAATTATAATAATTAGAAAGTAAAATGCATTACTTCATGGGTGTTTATTGTTGCATGTGTGAATATGTGACATTTTTTTATTACCAATTTTGTTGGATCAAATGCATGTGTGATTTGTATTATATTGCTTGCTCGCAAGAAGAGAGACAATCAATTCCCTTTGGAGTGAAAATAACTAATGGAGTCACTTCTTACTCGGGCTTAGTTGGCCATCAGTTCATTCATGACTTGTGAACTAAAATTCATATATATTTTAGAATCTGGTAATTTTTCTAGCTTGCAGTTTTTAATTATTGGTTTTCACAATTTTTTGTTATTATTTTCCATATTACTATTTGTACGAGCAAGCCCTCATTTTCCTTAATTCTTGCAAGTTATGGTATATATTGATTGGCTTTGGTGCTTGGATTGGTTTTACAAATAATTCTTTAAATTATAATAATTTGAGACAATCTGATTGCTAATTGAAATATGGAATATACATCAGACATTTGTTTCAAAGATCGATATCTAATTCTAGCTCATATGACATATGTCATTTACTATGGTCTTCAGGGTTGTCTTTTTTTGCTACAACTGATGGATTGGTAGTACCGCTACAACCTTTTTTTTTTAACAAGAAACTATTTCATTGATATATGAAATATGATAACAAAAGCTACAAAAAAGCTCTCCAATCAGATAAGAGAGAGGCGTAACTATAGTGATGAAATAGAGGGGAGCATTTACACCAAGATATCACCAAAAAACTATAGAATCGAATAAGAGATGTGGGGGAGGCTCCTTATCTTGAGAGATTCTTAGATTTCTTTCCAACCAAATTGTCCAAAGAAATGCCGAACAAAATGAAGCCATAGGCAAAGTTTCTTCTTTTTGAAGGGGTGACCGGTTAGGGTATAGTCCAGAAGCATCGATAAATTGGTAGGTAAAGCCGTCAACCATCCAAAAAGAGAAAGGAGCTTTTGGCAAAATCTTGGCTACAACTGATGGTATCGAGGTCAAAGGGGGCAATCTTGGCAACAACTTCTCATGGGTATGGATTACTCAGCACTTTCAATTTGTATTTAGTATTTACGACTTGCTTTTTTCAAAACAACTTTTTGAAAAATAAATTTGTCAATAATGAAATGAACAATCCCTCGAATTCTGCAATTCATGTATCATATATATATATATATATATTTTAAACTCCTGTTTTTTTCTCTTACCATTGCCATCTTCTACATCTTATCCTTGCTGCATCTGTAAATATAACTAGGATTGTTTCATATTCCTTTTATTTACTACTGTAAAATTTTTTATTCAGAAAAAGATTTGGAAAGCTAAATATTAGCAAAAGGTAGGGTATGAATGATTTATATATATGGTAATATATTATTTAATAAAAGGTTGTTTTCAATGGAGGTTATTAGTTGCAGTGTGCAGGGCAAATCTTACTTAATTTAGTAGGAGAGCTGAAGAGTGCCTCTGATAAAATTAGAATAGAACAGAAAATCTTCTTATATATTAGATTTCATTATGATTAGTTTCTTCTTCTGAAATGCAAGGTTTACTTATGGATCTTTTGGGCGTGGAAAAGAGTTGAATAATAATGGGAGTTTGTGGAAGTTCAACATTGCTGAAGATGAAAGATCAAAGAATAAATTTTTAGTGAATTAGATGAACCGAAGTTTTTTTTAGTTGGGCAGAGAAGCTCGTTCAAGGGAGTTGTTTGAAGTGGAACAACCACCTTAAAAAAGTTTACATGGATTAAGAAAGATAAAAAATCCTAGCAAGAGGAAATTCAAGGATGCAAAGAAACAAAGCTTTATGGACATATTGATTACGGAGAACTCTTACATTAGCCAATCAACTCTGGTGTGAAGTAGTTTAGGGTAGCCTTAGGAT